ATATCACCTATCAATATTTTTAGCTTTGTTACACTCAAGAATGAAATTCTTGATTTTCTAGGATGGCCCTACTACATCTTAGAAAAACTAACTATTTTATACGCAATGTTTAACTTTATTGGATTTCTTTTTTCACTCTTAAAAGGAATCTATAACACATGTGCTATACACACACAAGTCAATCGACAAGCAAGTGTAGCACGCATACTATTTGCAGGATTTTTTGGAATATTTTCTACATCTATAAACAAAATTCTTTTAGACGCACAAATAAAAGAATATAACACAAAAATAGCAACAAGACAGAACACATACGACGAAGAACATAACAATGCAGACACAACACCAACAGCACCACAGTTACCACCCCTACCACATAACCATCCATTATCCCTAGTCCCACGTAATTTTCGAAATTTAGCCATAACACATAATAATTTTAGACCAACCATATCACAAAGTCCCATTCAACATATAATGCCACACCACTCACAAGATGAAAATACTTATGAACAAATTATAGAACAACCCCATACCACCGCTTTTCAGTCTCAAAATAATAATTTTTTTAGCCCACGATGAGCCGACAACTTGGATCCCTACACCGATCAAATTCCCACCCAACCAACCTCACCACTACAATCCCAATAATACCACTTTTTGCTTTTCCGCCACCCGATTTCCCATCCAGTAATGTAACATCCGGCATGAATTCCGATACTAACTCACACATCTCAGTTTTATACTCCATATCACAACTCAATAACCCGAATATTGAAACCCCCGATGAATTTGCCGACTCCGAACCATCTCCATCAAATAATTTCCACACCAATCCCTTAAATTTTTCCCAACCCCCTTTTCAACCCATATTACCAAATAACCCTGACCCAACCAATTCTACACCCTCTTATGCTTCCCAAGTCACTCCAACCTACTCCTCACTTCACTCAAACCAATCATCTCATTCTTCAGACACCCCCCGAATCTCCCCAGAACTAGATAATTTCATTACCTTACAACAACAATCCTATCACCTTGACACCCCAACCATAAACCAAATCTCATCCACAATAGATTCATCCAACCCCCTACCCCTACACCCTCTTCAATTTATACTGATTCATTAGCACCATCATTCACAACTACTGTATCTTCACTCAGCACTAATAGAGCTTACCGCACTTTTAAAAGGAAGTTCCCCAACCATCCTTTCCCAGCGAAACCAGGAACAGCCCGTGAATACATCAACCATCCACAACACACTAACACAAAAGAATTTTTAGCTATCACCTTACCCTCATTTCCACAATACACCTTAAACACCCCTCATGACACTAACGAGACACGTAACTTTGTAGACGAATACGTTTTAATGCCTACCCTTCCTTGGACCTCATATTATCATTTTACAAATCCCCTTTGCTTACCTTTATCTAACACTCATATCGATATAGAACGAAATATGGACATGCTATATCGACTCACTACACCACTAACACCTAGACAATTTACTTACATTGGATACAAAAAATCACTAAAAACACACACTGCACCCCGAGCTAATGAATATACACTAGAATATTACGACCATAACATCATCAGAACTAACCAAGATCAATTCTTAGACGACGATCGCTTCGCTAACCCACAAATCACCGAGAAATTTTTCATTAAAACACCATATGTATTTACACTAAATATCTTCGATCGCAAGTTTGACCACATTATCTCAGAAGCACTAACAGACACGCAAGCCTACGAAAGTTTTAAAGAACGCTTCCAAATATTTTCACTAACCTTTCATTTCCTTGCACCACATGAAAGAGATTTGCACTGCTCACACGATATTATGTTGCGCACTAAACAAACACACACATATACTTATTATCGTTTCATCCAAAATCACTTTGACCTACACACTCCCTCCAGACAACCACACCATCGTTTTCAATTCATCAATTCCAAATACACCTCACCATTCTTTCTTAACTTCACATATTGCATTAAAGATACTAACCTTCATGGTATTCCCGACCCTTCCTCATCCCACACGAGTTTGTACAACCTATAGAAATCCCCATTTTAGAATTCATCCGTAACACTAAATTCAACCACAAATTATATAATCTAATCCAAAACACACCTTATGAATTTGCAGTTGGCACTGAAGAACTAACCACAATTAAGGCACTTCAATTGCTTTGGCCACTGCTTCAAACTAAAAATATCATCCGCATATTAGCCAAACTACTAACAACTTCAGATCTCATTCACGACATTTTCCCCCACGGTTTCTTCCCCGACGACTAACAGGTAAGTATGAATTATACATATTACTAATTAATTCAAACATTAGAAACTCACCATTCTTTATCCATGTTTTCTTTAGAAATTTAGCCTTCATCCAACGATCATCTGAAAAATTCACAAAAGAAAAATAAAAAATAGCAAACTACTTCAAAACTGTTTAAAACCCTATTAAATTTTTGCACCAACAATTAAATAAATATAATACCAATGCAGTAAATTAATTTATAAATTTTTCCCCCACCAGCAGTAAATCTAATAATGATGAAAATTTGTAACTTAATTTCCCCCAACAACTAGCAGTAAAATTAAAATTCTATGTAGTAAATTCATAAGAAGCAAAAGCAGTACTGACCTTTTGATATTCTCATTCACTCGCATAAGAATTCTATCCACACTCGCACAGCTCGCCCACGAAGAATTGTTTAAAATAATGAATTTCAGTTTCAAGCTTTCACACTCGATAACTCTAACACAAGATAACACGTTTCAAACTTTCCTTTAACCCGGTTGGAAAGGAATTATATACTAAACAAAACTAACCAATGCAGCTTACTAAACACCACAACACATAGCATAACAGCATGACTAAGAAAAGGAAACCAACGGTACCCAAACCGGATAAACCCAGTTTAAAACTGGATAATTTATTCTTTTGAAGACTATTATAAAGTCTAAGAAAGAAATAATAAAACACAAAAAAGTCGAAAGACAAACCCATACCACAAACAATTTGATTTTTGAAAAAAGGACACAACCAACAAAACATAAGAAAAACCACAACAAACCCAACATAAAACGTTGTCACATAACAGGACCTCTCACAAAAACCGCATGCAATCATACTCCCACTCCTGGCCTAACCCACCAGGAAGGACGTCCTGAGCATGCTCTATAGCCGGCCTAACCCACCGTGCTACATCCACGCTTTGTGACCACACTCCTATTTTTAATAAGAGCTACTCAAGGGTGAGTAACTCTTCAAAATAACTGAACTAAAACAAAAAGCTTTTGTGAAAACAACTAACTAAAATCATAATTAAAAAATATTAAACTAATAAAAGTTTTATAAAATGTAAATTACATTATGCAATACATAGATCAGAATACAACACCAAGGACGAACATCCAAAGACAAAACAACCCTACTACACTCGAGAAAGAATGGCCAACTACAATCAATATGCCGCCCACAATCACAACTCAAAAGATTTAGAGTACGACTTGACTTCGCAGAAAAGGACTTCATTGAACTAGACCAATGACCACCTCGATGTTCAAGTATACGTACAGATCCGAGTAACCAGGCATCCCCACCACGCACAATCTCCACGCCATTCCCAGACAAGGTCAAACACAAAGAAATTCTCACCAATGAAACAGAAAAACCTGACATAGCCAACCATTCTGAAATCAGATTTGAGTTTGTTGCGAAAACCCAGTCGTTGTCTTGAGAAGACACAATGATTGAATCTGGGACTTCTCTAATAAGAAAACCCAGAAGAAATAAGATGTTCGCCAAATACCAACGTCCATCATCCATCTTTCGAATTGCAGAAAAACTATTCTAAAAAACTCTGTAAAACCCGGATGGGTGGAACCTGATCTAAACTACATTTTATGATTGGATAAATTAGATATTTTACCAATGTAAAGTATTTAATATTAACCAATCATGATCCATCTAACTAACAATCCACTTATTTGTAAGTGCTGAAATTACTTGTAATTTCAGCACCAGAGAGATTTGAATTTAACTTAGAAATTAGTTGAACTCTCCCGAGTACTTCAGCAGCCGCAATAAACCAGTATACCCTAGATCTATTGAGCCTAGCAGAGACTAGTTAAACAACCTGAGACTAGATAGTATAAGAGTAAGACTAGGATCGGTATTAGACTAAGAAGTTGCACGAATCTATCCGGCCGAAAATAAGATAGCGTGACGAGCAGACGGTGTACCCTATCCGAAATTACTCTATGAGTTATACACTTCGGTCCTAACTCACTATTTCAAAACCCAACTGGAAAATGTTAGAAGGAAAAATAAGAGCTGCACAGTTTTATGGGTTATTTATGGACTTAATTGCTTACGATGATTATCCAACTCAAATGAATAATTGAACTACAATTTTTTCACCTTTAAAACACATCAGATCATGCACTCAAAAAAAGTTAAAGTAAATTTACCTTAAAAAATATCGTAAAACACCTTAAGAAATAAAGTAAATTTACACTGCCTTAAGTACACCTTAACTTACCTATAAACACCTTAAAGGTAAAATCAAGGTTATTTTAAGGTAAACTTTACCTTAATTTTAATTTTAATAAATCATTTAAGGTAATTTTACCTTAGCATTTTTTGTGTCTACCCCTTTGCAACTCTTACAACTTCACAGTACTTTGAAGTACGTTAATTGCGCCATAAGCTTCGAAGAAAGGTATATTAAGAACATATCTGATCAGAACGATTAATTTATTCACGATGTTGAATTAAAGTTGATAACATTATGAAAGTTTTAAAAGTGGATTTTTCAAAATTGAAACGAAACATATGTGTTGGAAGTGGTGAGTGTGTGTGTGTGTGTGTGTGTGTGTGTGTGTGTGTGCGGATGGGGGGTCTTTGAATGGAAAAAGACAAAGTTTGCCCGAGTATACAATTTTTCTAAATGCTAATAAGTGATATGATGCAGGTTCTCATCACAACGCAGTGCTACACCTCGAAGCTACTGCAGGTGAAGATTCTGGACGAAGACATGCAGTGTGAATACTGTCTGGACACTTCCACGATCACTCAGAGGAAGCCGTGGGAGATATCTGCCAATCGGCAAATCATAGTTGTCAATGTCCGACACGAAAAAGGGCGCCTTTTCATTATCCAAATTCACTGCACGGTCATCAATAAGCGACAACGTGAAATTTAAAAAATGGGACGGAAACTTTTATACAATTTCAATCAGTAGTTTACCGAGGGGGGTTGCCCTCAATTCTGATTGTCAAATTTTTCCAAAGATTCCACCTTTTGTATACTTTAACGAGATCACTTTTTGGCTGGCCAACATCAAAAGTTATAAAAGCTTTGGCGCCAACATAACTAAGTTTGAGGGGAAAGCGCGTGCCGAAAAAATGCAATTTTTGGTCAAATATATTTTTTAAAGGGCTCAAAATTTCATTTTCAGCCTGTTTTTTCAACAATTTGCTTCAGAAGTTTTTTGACAAAATAGGGTTTTTATAGTTTTTTTCGGAGAGCTCCGAAAATCAATTTGGTCGACCTAAAAAAAAGTTGACCAAATTTTCATTCTTTTTTTCGAAAAACTTCCCCTAGAAAAATTTCTGCTCACGCCACTGGTTTCCATCCATCAAGCATGGTTTTGACTAGCAAAAAAATGCAATAAAAATCCACGCTATACATTTTTTTAAAAACTAGTTAACAATTTTTGCTCTGTTTTTTAATGTTTTACGTCATTATAAAGCAAAAAGATTCTTTCAACTATTTTCTGAATGGTAATTATGATCAAAATTTTGTATGTTTGAAGTTCGTAGAAACAATTAGATCAATCAAAACAATTAGAAAAAAAGGGTTTTTATTCATAAAGTCAGCAAACAAATGAAAAGAGCCCGCTAAAAACAGAACTGCACGTTTACCGGGAGAAAAAATATGCTCATAAAATTCTATATCAATTTGCAGACAAGATGTCAAATATAAAGTTAACAGCGGACGATTTCTTCTTGTGTTTTATGGACTACAAACTTCGTATTTTCGAATGGGACTCTTTCCGAACGAGAGATTTCATGGAGAAGCTACGAATGAACAATGCTTGGCATGGCTACGCGTACTTTCATGAACATCAACTAGCAGTGGCGACCTTGAAAAGTCGAGAGACTGTTCTGCAATTTGTTCACATGGTTCCAGACAAGCATCGCAATTTCACACAGATCAATTCAGGGATTAAATTAAACCCAGGTTTCCAAAATAAGTTTGGGAAGTGTGCTTATTTGCAAAAACTGCAAAGTAATTGTAATTTCGGCTTGGCACCTGGAACCTTGTTAAAAACAGCTGAAGTATTAAGCGATTAAGAAGGGGCAACAGTGTAATTGAAATGTAGTTTTGATCACGCAGTAGGGAGAAATTTCGGATTCGAATCTGTGAAATTTACGCAAAAATCAGGTGATGTGAATGAATGTCAAATAGGGCGCGTCGTGTAATAAATCATATTGAAATTTTTTTAGTCGCGTTTTCAAAAAAAAAAACTAAAATTTTAGTCAGTGTCGAGGAAAAAAGTTTTTGGAAATTTTACTTTTTGTGATCATGATCAGTCAGTGAGGCATCGAGATCGGATCATGGTGGGCCTCAAGTATTCAATCTTTCGATTTATGAGCGGAGACTTTGCCACATCCACCATCGCTCTCCCAAAACAGATATCCTAAAACTGTATCGAGTTTTTGCGGAGCCCGAGGTTAATTTAACCCTTTTCAGGTATGCTGATGTTGCAGTTTCCCTGTATCCCATTATGTGCCTGCGGCAAAGATGAGTTTATAGTTGCGAATATTGGCCGAATGGATGTTTTGACGAAAATGAGAATGATATTCAGCGATAAATGAAAAGAATGGCGCTTTTTTGTTTTCGATGACTTCCGGAAAACAAAGTTGAAGTACAAATTTTGGCCGATTTGTTTTTTTGTAGTTACATTTTAAATTATACCTATTTATCAACAGAAAATAAAAATGTTTGAGCAAATGTTTTATTCGGTACAAAATAAAACTTGTTTTGAAGCATTAAGTTTTCTGTGATGCTTTGATGAAAGTAAAATGCACAGTCTTATCAAATATATTAGCTATACTCAAAAGATATTACAAAACGTTCACTGTCATTTGAAACCAGTCAGTTTTTTTTTCATGGCAGAACTTTGCATAAAATTAGCAAAAACAGAATGATTAGCTCATCATTTGCGACTGGAGCTCTGGATACTGTTCCCAAACTTATTCATTCTAACTCTTTTCCAACATGTTCCCAGACGGTGGCCCTTTTTTACTATGCGGATACAAACTCAGGTCAGCATCAGATTTATTTTGTACATTTAGAAAATAGTGCAGAAACAAAAGAAGGAGGTTATGGCCATTTTAAAGCTGGCATTTTGTTTTGGAATGCGTTTTTATGTTGTGGATGGTTTAATAATTTAACTGTGAAATATTGAAAAGAGTTGAAGGGTAGTTTTCTAATATTCTCATTAGTATGTGTGCCAAAAATTAATTTTACGAAAAAGCTCGGTAAGGGCTGTAAATTTTCTTACGGCAGTCTCTAAGTCAATTTAACTGATAGGTCTGCTCGATTTGCCCTATTGTTAAAACCTAGTTATAATATCAAATGAATTAAGACGAATGAATGAAAATATATCAATGGGCTTATGCAATTTTCCATAACTGCCTTTCTGAGTAGTTAGAAAAAAATTGGGATAAACTTAAATATTTCATTGTTCCGATTATTCGAAAAAGTCAAGACATTTTGTTTTCAGGTGTGTTTTAGTTTTTTCTTCTTCTTTTTTTTCACGCAAAATCAGGTAGGACAAATAATCATTGGAATGGCTCGAGTGATATACCAAACTGCAGCTTTTTCAGTCTTGATTTGAACGACAGTAAAAATATTCAAAATAATTTCTCAGTATCGAGAATAATTGGTCGAAAATTTACAATTTTCATTTCAATTTCCATCGATTAAAGCGAGCAAGCAGGCTTACAAAAACTTATTTACGCTTAGTTCAAGCCATGACAATTTAACTATGAGAAAATAATAATAGTTTTAAAAGTTCTTAGTGCCATTTTGAGAATCAAAAGCTTCCAAAAAATTCAAACTTTTCAAAAGTTTTTCTGCAAAAAAAATTGCCAAAAAACTGAGATTTAAAGTTTTTTTTTTGATGTTTTGTTTTGTATTTTTAGTCATTTTCTACATCTTACATCAGGCAATCTACATCAGGCAATCTTATCCAATGGCCTATATTACTATAATTAATGAATATACCTAACTTCTAGTTTCACGCCCGATTCGTTCATCACACCGCGCAGAAAACAATTTGAGAAAAGATTTTTTTGTAGTTTTGCACAGTAACCTGCTATCCTTGTTTTTTCATTTGTAATTATATGGTTGCTGTTTGCGTCTTGAATAATGTTTGATTCGCTTTTTTTTACTATGTTGATTGTTTGAGTTGATTTGTCTTTGAGTCAGTGAATTGTCTTTGATTTGTCAATGATAGTAAAAAAAAGACCTTTCATTGCTATTAACCAAAAACTTCTCTTATTCAAATTTTTGAATTTTTTATCTTTCTAGAACTTTGTTGGGCTGTTTAAGAGGCTGATCTTTTGCATCAATTATTTTGACAGTTTCAGCCAAATTTTTGATTGAATAGCAAAAAAGCTAAGATGATCAATTTTTCGGGTAAAACACCATATTGTTTCGAACTTCGCAAATTTTGTTCGCTTTATCCGGATAATTTAAATCAGCACTGTATGTTTCTGCTAACAGGAATTTTCTTAAGACCTTTCGGATAAAATTTTCAGATGACTGGAAAATTATTATAAAAAAAATTATTTAAAAACAAGTGTCGTAATGTTCAAGTGTCCTCATTGCATCAAAGCACGCTCTGGCATAATTAATTTTTGGTTTTTTAGAATCACGACCCAAAACTGCAAACCAGTAGCCAAAAAATTATCAGGAAAAAAGCTCTGTCGAAGTTTGAAAGCCTTACATCCAATGATACGAATCTTGGATAAAACTATTAAATGAAATCAAATGAAACAACACACACCAAAACAAAAACACAATTTTTGTACCTATTAGTTTCCAACAGCTAAATTTTAGTGATTTCCGTACAAAATTTCGATGATTTTTTAAAATTTCTATTCAAAAATAAACTGTCTAGATAGAGATAGAACTAAATGATTTGCAGTTGGCTAACAAGTGAAACTAATTGAAGCTAACAAATGTTATTATGCATTATATTGCTCCGGTTTTTATGTTAACTCAGGTATTGTGGCGGCTTAGCGGTTACAACGATTCTCTTGTAAACGGGAGGTTCAAATTCCGCCGGGATTATGTTTCGGGCTTGGAAAACATTTGACTAAAAATCAGATTGGAAATGAATTATTCTACAAGAAATCCTTGCTCAAAAAACAACTCTAAACATTTTCTGGCTTGAGATTTTGCTAAAAATTATGTGTTTCTCGTCAGAAATAAAGATATCGTTAAGTTCTTTTTTGTTTTTTCGATAGACATACCTTCCAACCATAAAAAAATCATAGTGCAAACGTTTTTTTTCACGACAATGTTTATTTTTTGATATTATTGGCTCCTAAAAAACGTTTACAGTTGTTTGTTTTCTGCCGAGCTTTTTTTGCCTGGAGTTTTGAAATCATAACAAGATCTCGAACAAGAAGAAGCGACATTGGGCTGTAACAATTACAATTTTTTAGAAAAAATAGGAAAACTCAATTCAAAAGATCACACAAAACTATCCTACGATTTTTTGTATTTTTAACATTACAGCTTCTAATATTTTTCAAAAATTGCAAAAAACGATGTTAAGAATATGTGATCTTTAAAATGCTCGGTATTTAAATTGAACATAACGACTTCAACAGGCTACTATGCCATGGTAGGTATTTTTATTTAGTCTTCACAGATTCTAAACCTCACAAGCAGGGAAAAATTTCACAGAATCGTTTTTTTTTGTTGAAAAAAGTTCGAGGCTTCACCCAATTCAATGATTATGCAAATACTTGTCAATTTATAAAATATCATTTTCTTGCATTTAATTTAGTTATCATCTGCGACCGAAACGCTGGCATTTTACGATACAGCTTGAAAGACCGAAAGGTTACAGCACGTACAGTACAGCCCTTCTTGAAGCCAGTGCTAGCCGCCAAATTTACAAAATCTATTCTCATTTTGGGCGCCAACTATCAGTATTACATTGTGGGCGTGGACTTGAAAACCTACTACAGGTTCGATTTTCGACCGGATTGCACGTTGGTTCCGGTTGGTCTGGAAATTACCAAGTTAGTAGTAATTGTACAGTTAGGTTGAGTTTTCTAACTTGACTCGGCATTTAATTAGTTTGCTGAACATTTTCATGAAAAAATGAAGTAGTGTTTTACATTTTTTTTTGAAATTTGGTGATGCATTTTGCTGCTATGAGTCTGAAGTTGAATGAAATCAAATTTAGATTGTTTTCAACTTTCAAAACGGGAGCTTACCCTTTCAAGAAATTTAGTAAAACGTTGCAAAAAAACTCAAATCAAGATACCAAAATCTTACGGCAAGATGCCAAAAGGATAACGATGATTGGCTAGATATTTTTTGCCGGAGCTCAAGATTTTTTTGAGCATTGTAATGCAGATTGCTATTTGCGACAGCAGAGGTGCACCGGAAAAACTTTTCTGAATGACGCTTTCTGAGATGTTCTATAAAAACACATAAAACCCTATAAAGACTCAAATCATAGCTGAACGTGAATCAGTGCTTGAAAGTCATACGATGGTACGTTTTTTACGAAAGCTATAAGTTATTTTTATAATTGAACAATAACGTTTTGTATTTGCATGATCTTTTCCTTATTTGTCAATAAATCATAAATGCTGAGCGTTATACTAGAGTGCAGCTTTAATCGAACTGACCTTCATCGAATTTGAAGTTTTTTTTTGAGTTTTTGATCTTAGTTTGAGGTCTTAATTTGATCTTAGTTTGAGAACAATTTTGAAAAAAAAAACAATTCAATTTAACGCTTTAAGGTTCTGACTTTCAAATGTGGTTTTCTTTCTCTAAACAAACTTCGACTGTTTAACTAGCAATGTTTGCCGTACTTTCTTATTTCTTTCAAAAGATATTGTTTTTGAGCTCCAATTTTAAAAAATATTTCATCTGTGATCGTTTTTTGTAAAATGACGCATGTATTATTATTGCCATTGGCCGATTTGGGATAATTAACGCGCAATGTATTTCGTGCTATTAACGCGTAAGAGGTGATATAATACGCCTTGAAAATCAGTTCAAAATGAATTGCGGCATGCTGTATGGTCTATTTTTTACTTTCCTGTATGCGAAATTAATTAGTGTACTCCTTACATAGCAAGTGTGTGTGTGGGGAGGGGGGGGGGGGGAGAGAAAAAGTTTCTAACGCATTAAAAAATGAAACTTCCATTCATCTTTTTAATGCGAACAAACTTCACAGACCCTAACATGCAGTCGCAAAATTTAGGGCTTTGCCCTGATCCAAGAAGTCTTTTTATTTTTTTTTGTTTTTGCGATGAATGTTGCATCAAATTTATGCTAGTTGATGACTTCTTTTCAAAATTCATTTCTGATTAGTTTTGGGCTAAATTATTGATCGCAATGAAACCACTTTGGAAACTTCTCCAAGTTATTGTTGTTACAAACACTTGCATTGAATCATACTTTTATTTTGGGTTTCATGTTGAATCGGTGAGCAACCTACTATCAAAATTTGAAAGCATCAAAGTTTGAAAACATAAAATTTATCAAACAGCAAATAAACATTTTAAAATGTTTTTATCATCACAAGTTTAGCATTGTTATATTATAATGCAAAACATTACAATCAAAACGATATTTTGAAAGGGGCAGCTTTGAAAAGTGATCGATTGTTTTAAGGACAGCGCTTTCGTACATTGCGAGCTCTGCTGAAACGCTAGAGAAACCTTTCTTTGCAAAATGTTTTGCGCTCTAAATGCCATAAATGCGTAAATGCCGTTTTTGAGTTTAAAAAAATGATTTTTTGACGCGCTTGGTTAACTCAAAATTGCATCTAAAATGCGTTTTTCGAGGCCTGCTATTTGGTTTACTTTCTCGCTGTATTTCGTTTTACAGAACCTTTCCCTTTTCTCCATCTTTGAATTTTCATAAAATTATAGTCATTACTAGATCAAAATGCATCCAAATTTATTAGATCAAAATGCATCCAAAAACTTTGAAAAAATCAAATTTTTTGTATTATTTAAGTTTGAACAAGGAGTTACTTTTAAAAATGATGGTCAAGATTTTCAAATTAAAGTTTTGAAAATGCGTAGTTTTAAGGAATTTCGTTTCCAGTTTTGTATCAATTGAGTTTCGCATTTGACTTTCAAGCTAGTCGATATTTTTAATTCCAATGAAATTTTTATGCTAGTGATTAATTATGCAAACCGATTTGCGTCCTCTGTTTTAGGTTTGAGATAGTTCTTGCGTTTGGACATGGTCTGCTGCAGTTTTTCTCCACTGAGGGGGAGGGGGTCGGGGAAGTAGACAGCAACCTACTCAGTCTAACATCTGTCACCTGGAACACAGAACACGAAACGCTATACGCTTCTGGTTCGACCACAATCATTTCGAAAAAAAAGTCCTTCTTAACCGTTAACTTGTCTATTTACCCCTGTGGCATCGAACAGGCGTGGTTAATACGGTTTTTTTTAATGTGAAAATTGAAGTCTTTTTAGTGTTTTGGAAAAAAAAATTTTAAGTCAAATTTTATAGAAAAAAAATGACCAAAAAGCCGTTTTGGGGCATTTTATGGAAAGTTTTAACCAAAACGAGACTCTTTTTTTTCTACCTAATAGGTAATTTCCAGCCGCATATAGGAATGAACAACTTTTTATTGGCGTTTTTGGACAGTTTTAATTATTTTGAATTTTAAAGTCATTGTGGGCAGTTTGGTGGGAGAGGATTTAGCGTGCGAGTTTTCAGTTTCAATAAATTTTTCAGGACGAGATCGGCAAGGCCTCTTAGCTGTTGTTGTTGTCGACAAAGACACCCAAACCAGCATCACTGTTTTTGCGATTCCACCCCTCATTGGAAAACAACTAAATTCCAAAACCATTTTAACCTGCAATCAAAACAACATTTATCTGATCTTAAAGGAGTGCTCGAGGTTCTACGAGTTCAACAAAGATGGCTTGCTGATTCAAAGTGGATACTTTCAATACGGAAATGCTGCTATAAATAGTAATTCGCCAATTGACGCTATTGATGTTTTTGAAACAAAAGAGATCCTAAAACGTCGAGATGAAAAAATTTCTTCGTATCATTATGCCGATGGTGAAAGGATGCCATATCGAAAGATTACAGAAATTTGCGTGATAAACAATTCAAAACTGTTCAATTTCACTCTTTAACTGCTAGTTAATCAATATATTCAGAGACTACATCGAATCACATTTTACCGAAAAAAAGCTTCGGAATCTGAAAAAGGTGACTGATGATTATTATCTCTCAGTGCTACTGATTTCAATTTTTAAGAACAATTTGGAACATTGAACAAAGTAGTGAGAAATGAAAATTTGGTTAAAAGTTGTGTATGTATCTATGTATGCATGTATATATGAAGGTATGTATGTATGTATACATGTATGTATGTACGTATGTATGTATGTATGTATGTATGTATGTATGTATGTATGTATGTATGTATGTATGTATGTATGTATGTATGTATGTATGTATGTATGTATGTATGTATGTATGTATGTATGTATGTATGTATGTATGTATGTATGTATGTATGTATGTATGTATGTATGTATGTATGTATGTATGTATGTATGTATGTATGTATGTATGTATGTATGTATGTATGTATGTATGTATGTATGTA